GGGAAGGAAAAAAGTAGGGAGGTGGAAAAACTGCACAAATGAAGAAAAACCAAAAGAAGAATATAGGTCTCACACAGACCCCTGGGAGATCAGACACTGAGAAAACAGATTCTGGAACACAAACAATGAAGAGCCCCCAGAATGACTGTTACATGCAACAAACCCAGACATCAAGACATTAATGGAGAGAATTTAAAAAATTGAGGAGAGACAAGAGGAAAATAGGAAGGAGCTGATGTCAGAAATGACAGCAGTGAAGAATACTGTGATGGAAATGAACAACAGACTAATAAGCATGGAAAGCAGAATCAGCCAAGCCGAAGAAATAATCTCAGAGCTCGAAGACCAAAACAAAGAACTAACCCAAACTGTCAAAAGCATAGAAAAGAAGCTCAAAAAGACAGAACAAAACCTGCAAGAGATGAATGATCACTTCAAGAGACCAAACCTAAGAGTAATTGGACTTCCTGACGCAGAGAGAGAAACAGAAGCCACACTGGAACCAACATTTCATGAAATCATTCAAGAAAACTTCCCTCATCTCATCAAGAATGAAAAAATTCAAACATAAGAGATTCAGAGAACCCTGCAAGACAACAAATGAGAAGACCAACTCCCAGACACATAATAGTTCGCCCAAACAAAGTAGCTATAAAAGAAAAAATCCTAAAGGCAGCAAGAGAAAAAGGCCAGATGACCTACCAGGGAAGACCAATTAGAATAGCAGCAGATTTATCCACAGAAATCCTTCAGGCTAGGAGAGCCTAGAGCCCTCTCTTCAAAGTTGTAAAAGATAAACAATTTCAACCAAGAATAATCTACCCAGCCAAACTAAGCTTCATTAGTGAGGGAGAATTGAAATCTTTTCCAGATATCCAATCCCTAAGAACCTATGCTGCCACCAGACCACCTCTACAAGAAACACTTAAGAAAGTACTGAACACAGAAGAAAAAGAAAAAAGAACAACAACATTCTTCACAAGAGTACAGGCAAAAGATTAAAAACACACATGAGCCAACTCCAGAACCCAAAGAAAGGCAACAAACAAACAGGAACAACTCTGTAAGAAACTTATGACAGGGATCAACTCTTGCATTTCAATTATTAGCCTAAATGTGAATGGACTAAATGCACCACTGAAAAGACATAGAATGGCAAAATGGATAAAATATCATCAGGCAACAATCTATTGCCTTCAAGAGACTCACCTCACTAGAAAGGACACCCACAGACTCAAAATAAGAGGATGGGAAGCAAACTTTCAGGCTAACGGAATACAAAAGAAAGGAGGAGTAGTGATCTTAATTTCAGACAAAATACCCTTCAAGCTATTAAAAATCAAAAAAGATACAGAAGGCCTCTACATAATGATAAAAGGCTCAATCCATCAACAAGAAATAACTATCCTAAACATATATGCACCCAACATAGGTGTGTTAACTTTCATAAAGCAACTTCTAGGACAGAATTCTACAAGACATTTAAGGAGGAGCTGATACCAATCCTACTGAAGGTATTCCAGGCAATTGGAAAAAGATGGAACTCTTCCCAAATCATTTTACGAAGCCAACATCACATTGATACCCAAGCCAGGTAAAGATCCAACAAAGAAAGAGAACTACAGGACAATATCTTTGACATAGATGCTAAAATTCTCAACAAGATCCTAGCAAACTGGATTCAGCAATACATCTCAAAAATCATCCACCATGACCAAATAGGCTTCATTCCTGGGATACAAGGCTGGTTTAACATTCGTAAAACCATAAATGTAATTAAATTCATCAACAGATGTCAAAACAAAAACCACATGATCATATCATTAGATACAGAAAAAGCTTTTGATAAAATCCAGCACCCCTTCTTGATAAAAACCCTTGAACATCTAGGCATACGGGGAACATACCTCAAAATAGAAAATGCCATCTACGAGAAACCCACAGCCAGCATACTCCTAAATGGACAAAAATTGGAACCATTTCCCCTGAAAACTGGAACAAGACAAGGATGCCCACTCTCACCCCTCCTGTTCAACATAGCATTGGAAGTCCTGGCTCGAGCAATCAGAGAAGAGGAGGCAAACAGGGGTATCCAAATAGGAAAAGATGAAGTCAAGTTATCTCTCTTTGCTGATGATATGATTGTGCACCTTGAAAACCCAAGAGAATCTGTCAAAAACCTCCTTACACTGATAAAGGCCTTTGGCAAAGTCTCAGGATACAAAATAAATGTGCAAAAGATAGTCGCATTTCTCTACACCAATAATAAACAAACAGAAACCCAAATAAAAAACACAATTCCATTCACAATAACCACAAAAAAATGAAATACCTTGGCATCTTCCTAACCAGAGATGTGAAAGACCTTTACAATGAAAACTACAAAACACTGCTCAAAGAAATCAAAGATGACACAAACAAGTGGAAAAATATCCTATGCTCATGGATTGGAAGAATCAACATTGTGAAGATGTCCATCTTACCTAAGACAATCTACAAATTCAATGCAATACCCATCAAATTACCAGCAACATTCTTCTCAGACCTAGAAAAGACAACACAGGAATTCATATGGAAACACAAATGTCCAAGAATAGCCAGAACAATCCTCAGAAGAAAAAAAAACAAAGCAGGTGGTATCACATTACCAGACTTCAAACTTTACTATGAAGCTACAATCATCAAAACAGCTTGGTATTGGTATAGGAACAGGCATATAGATCAATGGAATAGAATTGAGATTCCAGAAGCAAAACCTCAATTTCTCATCCAACTCATCTTCGACAAGGCCTCCACCACCTACCACTGGGGAGAGGAGAACCTATTCAGTAAATGGTGCTGGAAAAACTGGCTGACCACATGCAGAAG